GTGATATCCCAATTTTTTGTTATCTAAAACATTTAAAACCCTATAAACCCTTTCTTTTTCTATGTTCATTTTCAACCCTTTTTACCCCTTTTCACACACTCCAAACCTCATCCACTTAAACCCCTGCAAAATTTTTTTTTAGAATTCCCTTAAACCCCGTATTTCAGCAAAAAGTAAATGTATCAATTTTTCCCTTTTTTTATTTGATTCCCATAATTAAACCCCTCCCTCCCCGAACACCCCAGCATTTTTTTTTTTTACAACCCCCCTCTTTTAAAAAATTTTTTAAACAAACCCTGGGGAAAAATTTTTAAACCATGTCTAAGGGCCCACTTTTTTCCGGGAAAATTGTCTCCCCTCTTCTAACCCCCCTAACTGAGCCCCATATTAAAAAAAATTTTACGCATTTTGTAATTACCCCCTATTCCTATACCCTTGGGAACATCTGCCACATTTTCTCCCCCATCCCCTCTATAAAATTCCTTTTTCTAAATCCATAAATGCATTAAAAAAATTCCCCACCTTTTTTTAAATTTCGTTCCTTATTGTTTCAATGGGAAAAATTATTTTAAAAATCCCCTACCAAATTTCTTATTTTCATAGCCCAAAACCCGGGGTCAAAAATGCTACCTTTTAAATACAAAAAAAAAAAAAAAAATAAATTAAACTATAGATTGTAAATTTTTTTTTTTATTCAATCGGGCATATAAAAATCAGGTGTAAAACCCGCCTTTTAAGAAAAAATTTTTAAGACTGGTTTAAAATTTTTTTGAAGCTTAATTTTTTTTTTTTTTTTTTTTTTTATTTGGGAAAATGTATGAGGACCCCCGCAATTGCTTTTAAACTGTCTTGCAAAAAACAGGCCCAAAAATTGTTAGGAACCACAGGGAAAAAATGAAAAACCCCACAAGATAATTTAGGAAACCCAAAAAAGGTAAATGGAAGCCAAAGGTTAATTTAGGAACCCAAAAGGGGAATGAGGAGCCACAAGGGATTTAGAAGCAATGGGTAAAGAGAAGCCCCATGAGTAACTGAGGGAGCCCCCTGGGTAAAAAAGGAGCCCCTGGGTAACTGAGGAGCCCCCTGGGGTTATTTAGGAGCCACATGAATAATGATGAGCCCCACAGGTTTAAATGAACAATGCAAAATCAAAAGGGGAAAATTATGTTTAAAAGGGGGGAAATGCAAAAACTGAAAATGGTTTCACAGCACCTAGGAAATACCAAAAAATTTCCCGTTTGATTTTTAAAAGAGGGGTTGTCCTATTCCCTGGATCAAGGAAACTTCCCCCTGTCATATTTTGGGGTTTCCTCCCGCCATCCCTTTCATTTTCGGCACAAAATTTTTAAATCATTAAAATGGGCAGTGACTTTAAAAAAGTCTTTACGCTCCCGTGCAATTACAGAAAATTTTGGGGGCCACCATGCCTGCCTAGCAGCGCTGGTATTCAGAAAGTTAGGTATTCAGGCATGCTGTTAAGGAAAAAGTGGTTTTTTTATCCCCCAGCAAACCCCTTTTATAAAAACCATGGTTTTTTATAAACCCACAGGGGCCCCACCGAATTAAAGGGAAACCCCCCCCTTTAAGAAAAAAAAAAAGGGGAACCACAAAAAATAACTACAAAAACCCTGAAATTAAGGAACCCCCAAAGTAAAACTGTCAAGACGGGGGTGGGCAAACTTTTCAGTTGCAGGGGGGCCCTACTCCCGCCATTTGCGGGGTTTAAGGGGTTAATGTTCCCCCATCATTTGGCATGTTAATGTTTAAAAATTATTTGGGATTGTGTGGTAACCCTTTTTTTTTTTTTTAAAATTTACTAACTTTTGTCCCCAAAAAAGTGGGGTATGTATATGACTTTATTTGGCGGGCCGCATGAAAACCCTTTGGCGGGCTGTTTCGGGCCCCCAGGGGTAGTTTGCCAGCTGGTCGAAAAAACCACCACATGGATTTTTTTTTACTATATGCAATTTTTTCTTTCAATTTTGTCCCATTTTTATTTTAAATTTAAATGACTTTAAATTTAAATAAAATAAAAAAAACTTTCGGTGACAAATACAAAAAGTATACTTACCCCCAAAAAAGTTTGGGTGATTGGGGCAATCCCTTTTTCCCTGGGTGGGTTGGGGGTGGGGGATTAAACGTAAGATGGAAAGAACAACTGGCAGTAACACAGGGTATTAGGGAACCCATACGACAAATTCTGTTGAAAGAAAAAGAAACCAAATTATCAATGATTTGGGATTTTTAAAAGGGGCCCCTAATTATTTAAGGGGGTTTTTACATAATTAATACAGCCCGTGTGGAGAAATGTATTGGAGGACAAGAAATGTGTTTTAAAAGGTTTTTACTTGTTGCACTGAAAAAAGGTTTTTGGTGGGGGGGAACTAATCCCTTGTCGAGTTCATGAGCTTTCTTCTTTTGGGGTTCCCTTTTTTGGGCCCTTCTTTTTCCCGAGTTTTGCAGAAATAATAAACTTTGCAATTTTTTTTTAAACCCGTTTTAGGGTTTCCCGGTTAGAAAATGTTGTCCCCCTCCAAAATCATTTTAAAAATACCCGATCTTTTAAGGTATATTTTTTTTATCATCAGGATCCCCCTAAAAAAAATTTAAAGGGCAGCTATATAAAAGGTACAGTAAATTAGTAATTGGAGGTGAAAAGAGGGAAGAGATATACGGGTTTTATTAAAATTTTGGGGGAAAAGGTTTAAAAGTATTAACAGAGGTCAAGAACCCCCAGAAAAAAAGGAGGCAAAAAAGGGAAAATGAACCCGAGTATAGTGGTTTTCAACACTTTTTTATGGGTGTGGTCCCAAGGGGTTTTTTTAATGCTGTAGCATGGAGGTAGATGAAGTGGAGAAATTTATGTTTTTTGAGCAATTTTGTAGTGTTAATATCTGCAAAGAAGCCGACAAAGAAAAATTAAAAAGGGAATCAGGGGTCAATAACCCGTATATAATTAGAGGGTGAGGAGGGTGTTGAAAAGGGTTTTGGGATGTTAAAAGAGTATGGAGAGGGATAGGATGAAGAGGGTGTTTAAATCTGGGGGGGGAAGGTAGTAGGGGTTGTTCCAGGACATGTTAGGGGAGGGGGGGAAAAAAGGCTAAGAGCTTTAGGGATTTGAGCATTTTAGGGAAAACTTGTGTGGTTTGTTAAAAAGGATGAATGGAGACAAGTGTTTTTAATAATAGCGTTGGAGAGTGAGAAAGGAAATTTTATAAAGGGGATTCAGAGAAAACCATTTAGCGTATTTTGGTTTGCAGGGGGAAAAAGGCAGTCCCTCCCTGTGGAGGGGGGGATTTTGCAGTCCCCGATATTTAAACTGTATGTCAGCCACTTTTTGCAAAAAAATTGAAAAAATAATGGTGAAGTGTTTTCTCTTGGGTATGTTTGATGAGAGTGGTCAGTAGGGAAAAAATTTTTTTTTTTAACCACTGAAAAATTTTAGAAAATTTTACAAAGAATACTTAAAAGTTTAAAAAATAAAATATGATGCTTTTTTCACTGTAGGGAAAGGCATTATGATTAATCTGAAACATATCTTTACTGATTGTTCAACAGTAAGTAAAAAAACATTTTTGCCATTTTAAATGAGGCAATAAAAATGCAAGGGAGTGGGGGCAAACACAAAAAATAGGGATTTATCATTATTTATATTGGGAAGTCTAAAACCCAAAAGGGTCATACAGATGTGGGGGGGGAAGATGCAAAAGGTTCAAAACCCCAAAAAGGGGTGGACAAATCCAAAAATTTTTGGATTAAAAACCCTCACTGGATCAAAAGGGAAATTCCCCAAGGGAAAGAACTACAGACAAAGGTTTCTTAGTAAACATAAGTAAATATTTGGCAGGGTAGTGACTTGCAAGGTAAAACCAAAAAAAAAACTTACTAAAGGTCTTCAAAGAAAGGAATAAAGACAGTTGTAGAAAATGAAGTTAGAGGAAGACCGCAATTAAATTTATATTTAAATATTTGAGTAATTACTTTCGTTTTTCCTTTTGGGCCACCTCACCTCGATGGGATACAGCTGGTGCGTTGAAAGAAGAATATTTGGGCAATTCTTCATAGGGAAGTGGAACAGAGCTCTTCCCCGTAAGTCATAAGAGGCGACTAAAATGCCAGGAGCTAGTAACCCCTTCTCCTGTATATATTACTAAATTTAAAAAGAGAAACTTTCATTTTTCTTTTTGGGCACCTGCTTTGGTGGGATACGACGGTTTGTGAAAGAAAGAAGAAATTTGATTAACAGAATTCTTCCTAAGTAAGCCATGGATGTTGCAAGAGGCGATTAAAATGCTGGGAGCAAGGGGCTTGTAACCCTTTCTCCTGTATAAATTACTAAATTTAAAATGAAAAACTTTCATTTTTCTTTTAGGTTCCCCTGGCCCTAGCGAATATGGCCAGTTTGTTAAAAAAAAAAAAATGGTTTAATAAAATTCTTCCTCTGTAAGCCATGCTTGTTGTAAAAGGTGACTAAAATGCCGGGAGCAAGGGGCTAGTAACCCCCTTCTCCTGTATAAAATTACTAAATTTAAATGACAAAACTGTCATAACATTTTGAGTTACCTGGACTTGGTGGATATGGGGTGTGTTAAAAAAATTTGGTTACAGATGATTGTGATGAAGGTATTCTTGAATATTCTCTTCATCCTTATTTTTGCAAATGATCCACTTCTATGAAGGTTATCCCAAAATGGAAAGATGTACACATCTTTTAAAGGTTTATCTTTACTTGTATCATATGAAAGAAATGTCCTCATAATCATTAGTAATGGTATAATAAAATAAGTAGTAAAAAATGCAGGCAGTGAAAGAAAGTGAAACTTTAAATAGTTTTAATACACATTTTAAAAAATGCCAAACTACAGTAAAATTTGATGCTAAGCTGGCACAGGGATAATGTAACTAACTTCTTTTCCCTCATAGCTACATCAATTACCACTGCATGTTTCTCCCAGTCAAAAGCCAAGTAACACAAAGAATGCACAAAAGAGGCATCATACGCATTGCTGCAACATGACAAATAAAGGTGCAGACATACTTTTGGGTTCACCAGGAAAGCAGACAGGCAATGTCATCTCAAAAGGTAGAGAAAACTGCTTAGGGTTGACTGTAGCTGCTGCTTTGATGAGTGTGAACAGTGGAGAATCAGAAAGTTCAAACTCTCGTCCCCCTGCACACACTCGTTGTATTGGTGTCGGTTTTCCAGCAGCAGATGATGCTGGCTTGTCGTCCTCTTTTTCTTTGCGTTTGATGCCCTTGCAACTTTTGTTAGACTTGCCACTAGACAATGAAGTTCTGTTCTTTCTCATCAGGCTAGTGGAAGGAACACATTTATAAAGCAAGACAAGAACAGAAAGAACGGAGATATGTGTACATAATTTAATTCTGTAATTTCCACTGAATTCAGGTTAGTAATGACTGATAAATTGAAAGAATGACTCATGCTTGCACACACCACCACACTGTATATTCAAATAATTATATAGTGTGAGGAAATTTGTTTGCTTCTTCATCAGTGATGAGGTGATCCAGAGATTATTTAATTAGTCATCCAAGTCTGGTCAGGACCCTATACAGAATATTAAATGCACATTATAATTGGAATACACTCACCCTGAAACTTTAAGCACTGGATGGATGCCCACCTTCCCATAGGAATATCTTTCCTCATCAAAGGTGGGATCCGAAAGAGAAGAAAAGCTGTAAATCTCAGAAGCACTCAGAGCGAGTGTTCAAGAGCTAAGGCTTCAATGAGGCCAACTTAGCCTATTGCGAAAAAAAAAACAAGCTAGGGTGAATTTAGAACCATGTCAAGTGAGTCAAAAATCCGGCCGTGCGTTAGCCTCTTGTAGCTTAGAGGGCTTCAAGAACTATAATGAGTCAAAACCATTAATACCACTAGAAGCAATCACAGATTCAGCAAAACAGGGCACTAAAAATGGCAAACTATTACAGTGAGTGAAAGATATTTGTTTGAAAGGGAAATGAGAGTGATGCAAGATAAAATGTCCTCATGGGGATAAATATCACAAACTGGGTCCAATGGAGAATACTTGCCCAATAATATTAAAACTTTTCATAGTGGCCTATGAGGAGGAATACAACGACTAATTAATACACAAGTAATGAAAAAAATCATATGTAAATAATTCCTTGGCAGTGAAAGTGGTATGTAAATGCTACAAAGTGGAGTGAATGATAACTCAGATTGTAGCAGATGCCAAACACAAGAATAAATAATTAAGCTTGGTGACAGAATTTTGCATGTAAAAAACAAGTGCTTATGTAATCAAAATAAAAGAAAGCAATAACAGCTCAAACAATAAAAACTTCATAATATTTGGAAAAAAAACATTTAACTTTGCTTTTTTCTTTTCAAACGATTGGTCATCTCCCACTAGGCAGCGTGACCCAAAAAGAAACATTCCATAATCAACATACTCACTGTTTTTGCAAGGAGGCACCAAGAATACAACAGATCAGATGTCACTCCAAACAGCAAATATCCCAAAACACATCATTTAAAGTGCAGGCAGATGTAGACAAGTAGGGTTGTCCTGGAACTAGACTGGAGGGAGGGGGGCCAAAGGAGAGGTTTTATGATGGGCTTTTGGAAGAGTGAGCAGGGTAATTTTTGTGAAGGGATTAGGGGAAACCAGTTAGCCAGACTTATGTCCTGAAGGTGGGGAAGTATCTTTAACCCTTTGACTGTTTACGCCGTAATAAAATCGTTCTTACGCGCCACTGTTTTGATGTATTTATAAGCATATTTAGCGGCTTCAAATCAAGCGGGGAAAGGCAGGTAGGCCTACATGAGAGAGAATGGGACTCAGAGGTCAGTGTGCACCCTTTTGAATAAATATGGGACAGCGGGTTGCATTTGTGGGAAACATCTTGGTAGTCATGTTCACCATGCCTCTCAGTAAGCGTTCTCACTCCTCGGTGGATGGAGGTCTTTTGTTCCCAATGTTAGCTTATAACAGCGATGAAAATGTCAGTGACAGTGAATTCAGGGTTTTGAAGTGGTGATATCAGAAAAAGTGCCCAGGCATAACGTAATAGTGATGAAACCCAGATGGACCCACAAAAATTCCATCTGGTGCTGGGGCCGGCTTGTTCTCGTTTCACGTTCGCCTGTACAAGGACGAAAGAGGAAACTATTTGGTCGTGTACAACACCCAGATGTTAGCAGTGATGTTATAGTTGATGTACAAGGTCATTGAAAAGCAGTTTAGTTGTGACAGTTGAGGGAGAATATTTCCCAGTTAAGCGCCGTTGTACGAGTAGCATGCGGTCTGGTAGTGTTTCTATGGCCTTCAAAGGGAGGAGAACCTCTGGGAGCATTCCGTGGCCATACACCACGACTGCTATGTGAAGATGACGAGATTGTTACGATGGGTATGAATGATGTGAGTGAGGGAAGCAGGCAGTGGTGGTGATAGTGATGTGTGGCACGGCCCATGTGGCAACAGCAGCGGGCCACGATACTAACCACGCTGCGGCTCTGTGAAACAAACAACCAGCTTCACCGACCACATCCACAAACTGCACAACCACAACCATGGTACAATATCCAGAGAACACATCAGACCGCATCTGGGATAGGGAGGACGTGGACGGTTTGTTCCAGTCCATGACTTTGATTGAACAAAAGTGGAATAAATCCATTCAGTCAAATTGGGAACAATGCTAGTGAACTGCAATGCTTGAGTTATTCTTCGATGACCTGATGGACATCAAGTCAGGGAAACCAACACATACTATGATTAAACATCGGCAAATACAATTCTCTCACCAAAATCATGCTACACCAGTGGAAGGAAAAAACTGTGGCAGAGTGTCCCTGTTTTTTGCGAAAATAATGCTATTGCCACATGTGTTAAGCCCTGCCCCACATATGGGAAACGAACGCCCGTTTAACCCCGGGTTTTTAGGACATTTTAGGGAAACTTTTCCCTGAAATGTTAGTAGTTACATTTTCAGAAAAAACCCCGGCCTGCAGAACGACGGTTTATAAGATAGGAATGTGTTATGTACTGAAAAAAAGTGCTGATGTATTTTTATCCCTTCGGAACTTTTTTTTATGGCCCTTGTTTTTTTTAAAAGGAAGACTTCATTTAAGCAATATATCCCAAGCAAGGAAACCCTTTTGGTATAAAGTTTTTTGTACCGTGGTGTTGCAGAGTGGTTATTTGGATTCATTGTGTCATGGCAGAATACTTTGAGAGATACCAGGTTTTATTTGGGTATCTTGGTGATGTGGTTAGAACAATGATGGAAAAACCATATCTTGGTAAGGGGCTTATTTTATTTATGAAAACGGGTACACAAGCCCCTTATAGTGTTTCTTGGAGTATTTGACGACGTGTGTGGCACAGTGCGGGGTAATCATAAACATAGAAAGGTTCGACGGGGCACTCGGAGGTAGGTGCAGCTTTGCTGCAATCACATGGCTTTCGGTGGCATGACAAAGTGATGTCCATGTTGACACAGTTCACCCAAACGAAATGGCACACGTGGCAGGGACAACAGAAGACCAAAAGAACCCCTTCTAAAGCCCCAGCGTCATGGACCCAACCCCAATTGCGCTTAGGTGGGCAAAATTTAATGCAGATTGGGGTTTTTATTGTTAGCAAGGTTTTAAGTGGTATATAAAAAATTTTTTTCCATCTTGTTTAAAAATTTTCCACTAAATGCTTAAACATTCAAATGAAGCCAACAAAACACCAAAATAAGGGGAATTTTTTTTTGTCAGTATCAGCAAATAACGCAAAATACCCAAAGGGCACCTGAATGCCAGCGCCCCCAAATTACCAACACCGCCATCTTTTTCAGGCTTTTACCCCCATACAAAAATGTTCCTTTCTACGCCCCAAAAAAAATCTAGAAAAGGGTTTGTAGTACACTACACAAAAGCCACAAACACGCAGAGGGCCTATTTGTGGTGAGGATGTCAAGTGCCCTTCATATACCCAGTTTCAAGAGTTCACAAGGAGGTTCTAGGAACTGTTTAGGATGTACATTGTAATTTTTAAATTTGGGAAAAATAGTAATAAACATTGTTTTTTTTTTTGTTTGTGTAAACAAATTTTTACAAGACTAATATGATAAAGTTTGTAGTTATTGTTTGTAAAAAAAAAAGAGTGTATATTTGAACAATCACCCACTGGTTCACGGCCCACAAAGTTACTTGGGGGAAAAAAAAATTGAAAAAAAGCAAGAAACTTTTGATTAGAGTAAAAAAAGAATACAGGTGGGGGGGGCAGTTCCCGCTGTTGCCCTAAAGCCCTCACTTTCTGCAAACTTTGGGCTCTATATCTCGGTAAGACTGATGGCAAAAAAAATTTTTTAGGCTTAAACATCGAAAGATATTCCCAGCATTTCCATAAGAATTTTTTTTGTTTTTTTTTTTTTTTTTAATATTTTGTGACTGAATGACAGTTTTTAGAAAGGGCCTGCGACAGTCAAAGGGGGTTTAAAAGGGGGGGTTTTGGGGGTTACAT